CAATTTACTGACCCACCTTAACTGACCATCCCCCCACACACTTCTGATTACATCTGCTTCCACTGCATCCAATTTGGTTTCTTGGAAGAATGCCACATCCGATTTCCATCTTTTAAGTAGATCGCAGATCACCATCCTTCTCCTACCTGACCCTAACCCCCTCACATTCCACGAAAGAATTTTTATATCCATAAAACAAATTAGAGAAACCCCCACCCTTTCAATGATCTTTCTTCTCCCCTCCCCCTCTTATAGATCCCTCTCCCTTTCCCACTTTGTCATTTAATCCCCAAGCCAACCTCATCATTTCCCTACTTTTTTTTTCACTCCATTTCCACCTTTTTCTGCATTCAGCTTGAACTTCTCCTCTAACCATCGCCTTTCAATCTTTTCTAAATACTTCACCGTTTCTTCCTCCATACCCTCAATAGACACCCCCAAGAATTTACCCAGTCCCAGAATCTTGGAATTCACTCACGCCGAAGTAATTTCTGCCCCTTTACCCTTATCTCCCTCTTTCCCAATCCCTCCCTTTCCACCTCAAATTTTTTGTCCACACCCTCATCCCTGTCTCTTTCCATAGTTCCCCCCTCCCCACTTCTAAGGAACATACCTAGTAATCACCAGCTTGAGGACTGACGAACATCTGAGAAGCTTGGACTTCCTGACCACGTATCATTGCCAGTGGTGTTACTTTCGCCAATTCTACCTCAGGCACTTGGATATTCGCCAAGATTATAGCACCATCTTCTCCAATACCACACGATGCCGGAGGATTCATCATCGACTTATCTTGTCCAACTAGATGTGGCATCTGCATTCGGCTTCTTTGTGTCGGCGAATCTCTTTCCACTAAGCCCTGAGAACGGCTTCTGCTACTTTCAAGTGGTGGGGGAGGATGCATTTGGAGCCAATTTGGGCCGGTCAGAGCCGATGCACTAGCCTCAATCTGAGTTTTCTAGGCCAGGCCCAAACTCAGGTTACTCCAAGCTCTGGTGGGTTGGGCCCGCCCTGAACTGGTCCCACTTTGGGTTCTTGAAGGTGATGGAACTTCCCTGACTACCCTTTCATTCTCTCCAACCATTGCCATTCCCACTCCAGCTGTTGTCTTTTTTGACTGCAATGAGCCCCCAATTGGCAATAGGTTCAACTCCTGAAGGCATTCCATCAGAGTCTCTTTGACCCAATTTTTTGAAAGTCCCGCCAACTTTGTTCTTCCTTTGAATTTTATTTTGGTTTTCTACAGAGATCTCCATTTGACGGTTGTCTCAAGTGGGATCAAATTCCGGATCCACCCTTTCAGCCTGACCGGACTGAATCTGAGTCGTCTGAGATTTCGGCTGTAAATTCGTCTCTCTCCCCTTCCGTCTTCTCCTTCTCCGACAACACCCTCCCTCCGCAACTTTCCTCTTCATCGTCCATTAAGACCAGAGCTCTACTTGCCGACGAATCTTCCCTCTCTTCCTATAGCCCCCGACCCCTCGGTTCTCTCCCCCTCTCCCTTCTAGTCACCCTCGGACCCCTCTCCATCCAAATCCACACCAGGAAAGATAGATCTCCTGTCACAATCTCCACTTTTTCCGGGATCACACCCCTTGCCTTCACCTTCATTCTAACCCATTCACGGGTCTTAATTTCTTCCGAAGAATCGTCTATCCCGACGAAGCCCCCACAGATATTTCCAATACCTTCTATTACACTCGGACACCACAGGGGTAGCGGTAGCCCGAAAACCTTTATCCACAATTCTTTTGGCTCACTGAGAGACCCCACCTTCTCTGGACTGTAGTTTAACATCGTTTTCTCCCACCACTCCAATACAAGTCTATTTTGTCCCCATGCCCAAGGGCCGTTCTGAATAACCCATTCCGCCTCTTCTTTAGACGGGAAGATGAACATAAACAGATCTTCAACAAGTTTTTTCACCCTCACCTCACCCACCTTACTCCAGCACCTTGTCGCCCAGGCCACCACTTCATCTACCGAACACTTCCTATCAAAATAGCCCACTAGTCATCCTTGCAGGAAGATCCTTCTCGCCCTTACCCCCTCCTTCGCCGTTTCTAACCACACCCTCTCCCCTTCGACCTTTGAATAGTTTCTCCAAAGCTCGACCAGACACCTGCCATTGCCATCTTGTACGAAAAATTCCTTTTGAAACCGGCACCCCTTCTCCTTGCGTTTAACCACATCTCCGCTCTCCACCTTCTTCCCATACCTTTCCCAAACTGAATCCTTTCCATCTATAAGCAACTCTCCAAGAAAACATCGTTTTCCACCGGCAATCACCTTCTGCAACCATTTTGTTTGCTACTCTTCTTCATCGTCGCCAACCGTCGATACCTCTCACCTTCGACTCCACCCACCGACACCTCTCGCCTTCATCACTGACACCTCTTTCGCCTTCAACACTGATGCCTCACACTCCTAAATCGCTTCGTCACCTCTCACCGCTGCCTTCACCTTCGCCTCTCTTCGTCAACTATCTCTTTCTCCATCACCTCTCACCGTCGATAGCCACCATCACCTCTCACTGTTGTCAATCGCCGCCTTCTCCGTTGCCTCTCACCGTTGCCTCTCGTCGTCACTCCTCTTACAGTTGCCTCTCACTGTCGCCTCTTGCCGTCACCCCTTTTATAGTCGCCTCTCCTCTTACAGTCACCTCTCACTGTCGCCCCTCGCTGTCACCCCTCTTACAATTAACTGATCTTTGTGTTGATTTGAGCAAGCTTTTCCACTCTTTAGGCTAAGGATCTATCCTCAGTAATAGAACAATGCAGAAATCAAGGGCCTTCTCCTCCATTTAGAACCCACCCTATCTCCACACGGGAGTTAACTTGAACTTCTTTTCTGGTGAAGCCTAAAATTCAAAATAACTTTAATCTTGGAGTAGAGTAATTAAATGATCTGAGCTTGAAGAATCAACTGTATCTTTAGGTCTCAAAGAAACCCACAATCCTTGTACCCTCTAAAAACACAAATCACTCTTAAAGGCCATGGATTCTCCTTGGAACGACAATCAAAAGTCAATTCAACTTTTCTTTGCTTTGTGTGTGTGTGTGGGGGTGGGGGGGGGCACCAAATGGAAATTTGGAATGCTGATAAAAAAAGAAATTTGAAATAATTTTTGAATGCCTAGATTTTTGTTTAATGGTAACTAATGGATAGAACAAAAAACCTTGAATAACATTCTTGCAGGTGATTTTCCGTTATGATAATAAAAGTGCTTCTTTTGAAGCCAAATCTGTATTTGGATGTGAGAGAATTATTTGTGTTACAAGATTAATGTAGCTGACCTTGAATAGTTGAGATAACACCTGGTGATGTTGATGTCTATTTGTATTCTGTTACATTTTTCGTAATGTGTTCATTAAGGTTTCTGCTCTCAACCATACCTAGACATTGATTAGAATACTTGTTTTCAACATGTTACAAGATACAAACTCAAAAATGCACAGCCAGATAAGATAACATTGGAAAGTAAAACATCCATATCTTGCATATTTTAACTAATGGATAAAGAAGTTGATCTTGTTATTGCCAACTTAAGTTTTAGATGGAACTCATGGAAGCCACATACAGTAAACGAATCCTAATATCATACTTAAAAACTTAAGTTTTAGACATGAATGACATGACCAGGATTAAGCTCAAATAAGTTCAGACATTATTACTGTGGTCTAATGAAGTGTAACTGAAAATGTGAAAATTTATATTTGCCTTATCTATACTTACATTTGGTTGAGCCACTTTAGGAATGTAACCCTGTGGTATCAAGATAAAATTGGTAAATCTGTTTATGTTATGTATATGTCTCAGAAGTCCAGCTTATGTATAAAAAGCTTTAGTTGTTCAATAATTTTGTGGAATATTAGTGATTGCTAACTCATTGATGGTTTCTTATTGCTCTTTCTTAAAAAGTTACTGAGTTTTAAACAGTTGAACTTTACATTGTGTTCCCCACTTTTTTGCTGCTAAGTGCTAGGTGCTAACTTATTATTTCTATAGGAGATCTGGAGGCATGTCTAAGGATCTTATATGCTAATAAACTTTATGCTGGCAGATAATTTTGAAAGCATTAAGCCTTTAACTCCCCCTACATATGTTGTCATTATGTGAAACTATATTGTGTGCTATTACCTGGTAAGATGCTGAGGTTATTGCCTAGAATTCAGCTGAAAGATTTCCATGGTGGCACTGGGTTCTTGTTGCCTATGATATGATTGTATGAAACAATATTATGTGCTATTATTTGCAGATTGAGATGATGTGGTTATTAGCTTTCCTTTTAGTCAGTGGTAGGTTTGCAACTCAGGCAGGTTGGGGTTGGGTTTAAGGCCAACCTAGGCGGCTAGGCCCATCCTTAAGACATGGACTTCAGGCCTGGGCCTGGCCCAACCAACAGTCAAATACTGAATTGGTAGTGCAAACCTAAGTTAAAATCAATCCAACTGTGGCTGGGATCAGGTGGACCCAGTTTGATCATATACATATTTTTAATATACTCTATAGAGCATATATCTTGTAAATTATAGATTTATATTATACATATACCAATCAAAAAATGATGGTATATACACGGAATAAATATATTATAGGAAGTTGGTTAGTCTCCAGCTATCTGAGTCCTCAACTTTATCCTAACTCAAATTGAGGTCAAGCTCACTTTTCAGGCCAAGTGTGCTCCTAATCCTGAAAATACAAGCCCAAAGTACAAGAACATTGTGTTGGGAAGGGTTAGGCTCGCCCAAGTTTCAACCCTATGCAGAGGCCTTAGTTTTTGTTGAATTTCAAGTTTTCTTTGAGTATTGGCTTCCTTCTGGAAGAAAGTTTTTCCGTCACATGTTTTTCTTATTTCATAGAAGTCAATGCGGTTATTGTGTGTTAATGACATAGACTATTTTTAATTTTTGGTATTCATTTTTTTGGCTTAGAATATATGTTTATGCAGTAGAAATTGATCTTGTTTTTCATTGTATTTATTTCCTTTTTATTTCCAGGTAAATTCAGGCACCTCCCTGTTGTAGAAAATGGCGAAGTTATTGCAATGTTGGATATTACAAAGTGTCTATATGATGCTATATCTAGAATGGAGAAGGCTGCAGAACAAGGCAGTGCCATTGCCGCTGCTGTGGAAGGGGTGGAACGTCAGTATGGAAGTGCTTTTTCTGGTTAGTAATCTACTTATCAAGGATCACTTTCCTGAAACTCCTTCTGTTTGCTGTTGTTTGTGTGAACGTGTTTCTTGATCTTTTGCTTTGTCAACAGTGTGAAGAGAGCTCTAAGATGGTCTTTTATTATTATTATTTTTAATTTTTAATAAAATAGGCATGTGAACATAAAAATTCTAATATAATCATTATCTTGCTTGAGAATAACTATATTTGAAATCACAGTCATGTCTTGAAGGCTTTGAACATAAACATTCTTGATACTTTGCTTTGTCAACAGTGTGAAGAGAGCTCTAAGGTGGTCTTTCATTTTTATTTTTAATTTTTAATTAAATATGCATGTAAAGATAAAAGTTCTAATATAATCATATCTTGACGGCTTTAATTCCTATGAATTCGATCAATGTTTTCAACTTCATGGCCTAATGGGAATGAGTGCCCATTGATATATGAATGTGTGTGGTAGAGACTGAAAGTTCTAATATATGAATATTTTCAACTTCAATTCTCTTTTCCATTTTGTTTCTAGAATACAATAATTTATGCTTTAGGTCAATATTATATTTCACTATTTTGACATTTACAGTGGAAAACCAATAGATTTCAATTACTTGTTTATATATTTTGCAGCTCCATATGCTTTCTTAGAAACCCTCAGGGAGCGGATGTTCAAGCCTTCATTGGCAACCATTATCACTGAAAATACAAAGTAATTTTTTCCTTTGGCCTGCCTATTTTATGGTTTCCCATTTGTGTCTTTGTGTTTGGAATTGATTTTTTGTTACAAATTTCTTTAATTGATCCCATTTGCAGGGTTGCAATAGTATCTCCATCAGATCCTGTTTATGTTGCTGCAAAAAAGATGCGAGATTTACGAGTTAATTCAGTGATTATTGCAACAGGAAGCAAGCCTAATGGGATACTGACGTATTAGCATTTCCCATTTCATATTTTTAATTTTATGATATTGTTTACTTCATGTGTGTGCCAATGCATTATACTTAGTAGCCTACCTTGTATTGGTTACTGATATGGATGTCGTTTTAACATCACTGCAGTTCCAAAGACGTTCTCATGCGAGTTGTAGCTCAAAATCTGTCACCTGAGTTGACGCTGGTGGAAAAGGTCTCTATCTAAATTCCTACCACAAAGTTTTTACTTATCTAGAAAATGACATTCATCTTTGTGAGTCCCGTGTTACTGGAACATATTAATTTTGAAGTCATCTCCTCTTCCCCTCTATCTTAGGACATCTTATAATTAATCATAACTATCTCATTATGGATTCTTTCTGTCTTTAATACCTATTTTTTCTTAGTATTATTAAAAGGGTCCCAAGTTCATGTATACCACTTCCATTTATAGTGTAACATCCATTTCTGATAACTTATCCATCATGTATCCTTTTCATATTTGGATAAATGTAGTTGTAGGTGTTCAAGACTGCTATCAGTCTTGATCACTAAGAAGTTCCAGATTCGATGAGAAGAGAAAGTGAAGAAGAAGTAGAAGAAAGAGTG